TCAGAGTTTGAAACGTCGCGGTGGAGGAAAGGGAAAGAGAGGCTGGGCTCCCCGGCGGTGATGGTTCTTCGTTCAACAATATATTTAAGAACTCCGTACAATTCTCGCTTTCTGAGGGCCATCTTTAACTTTCTTCTAGGACTTCTTCCCATTTGGGTGTGCCGCTTTCAGATTAGAGAATGTGCCGCTTTAAGATCAGAGAATGGGAGGAGAATGGGAGTCTTCACGAGGAGGGAAGGGTTTGGTTTGTATATATATCAGTAAAATATTTTGAATTTTTAGGGCCGGTAATAGCCTGAAATCTGTTAAACCGTTATTTTAACTGAAAACTGACAACCTCGTGCCTTATAAAGAAACAAAAGAGCATTATAGTACTAGATACAGTCATCCATGGAAGGATCTAATAAATTCTAAAACCAGAAACCGTTAAGAGCTAAAATATCATCATCTAATTTTGTCGTAGGTAGTAAGTAGACTAGACTTAAAAGTGAGTCCTTGTCGAGTGGATGGAAAGTAGTAACTAGTCATCTAAAACGTACACATTTGAAGCAATCTCTTGCAACAATGGTGTCTTGATGCCTTGAAGTAGTCTCCGGAAGTTCCTGAGATGTTTTCGTTTCTTTCTTTTGTCCGGAACTTCTGTCAGAAGAATGATTCTGTCTTTCTGTCACTCTTTTAAAGTCACTTAACTTCATTAATTCGCTCAGCGCACATGTACTGGTGCGCTATACGAATTTTCTTAACTGCTGCACTTTAACTAATGTTATTCGCTATTCGCTCAGCGCACAGGTAATGGTGCGCTATGCGAATTTCCTTCTTCTGGCAGTGCAAATTTTGACAGATGAATTTACTGTTATAGTTGTGAGCTTATTACTTTTGTCTCCTCTGTGTGTTTACTTGTTGAGAATATATTGTGGTGGTGTTGATTTGCAGGAAATGCCAACTCTAGTTGAACCACCAAACAGGATTAAGCCAAAGGGAAAACATTATTATACAATATGGCAAACTTTGTTTGAGATTGATACGAAGTACGTTCCAATCAAGCCTATTGGCCGCGGAGCATATGGCGTGGTGTGCTCTTCCATCAATCGTGAGACCAATGACAGAATTGCAATTAAGAAGATTGGTAATATATTTGAGAATTCTATTGATGCTTTGAGAACTTTTAGGGAACTGAAGCTGCTTAGACACATTCGGCACGAGAATGTCATTGCTTTGAAAGATGTCATGATGCCAATCCACAGGACAAGTTTTAAGGATGTCTACTTGGTCTACGAACTCATGGATACCGATCTTCACCAAATTATTAAGTCCTCGCAGCCACTTTCCAATGATCATTGCAAATATTTCTTGTTTCAGGTACTGACCACTTTGTTATGGTATTTTTTTCCATTCCTTCATCTCTTCTTTCTAATTTCTAGAACTGTTGCTCTGAATTCTTTTTGGATTTGCACAAAGGCATGACATATTCATTTTGAAAGAGATTTGGTTGAGGTTAGAAGTATAATTGCAAATGCATTCTTTCAGTGTTTAACTGGCATTGTCATGTTTCGAAGTGAATTCCCCATTTCCTGTTATTAACATACAACATCAGTGTTAAACATCCTCTTTCGTGCATTCTTATAAAGTATCATCAGGTTGTTTTAGAGAAGTTGGGGCAATTTCGTGCTCTCTACCTTTTTTTATGTCTTCAATGTTCGATCGTGTCCTATGATGGAAGTCATGGGCCCCAATTGGTGGACTGATGTGACCTTAACATCGTTTCATTAAATGATTAAGCTTCTTAAGAAAATAACCTATCATTGATTATGATTGTAATCCATCTTCTCCACATTTTGTTAAAGAATTCTGCTGTAGAATGTTTATCAGCATTGACAATTAGAAACAGATTGATTCTCTATGAATTTCAAATCTTTGCACATTTTAACTATTGTTGTGATTGATACTAACCATGAACTCTTACTTTAGCTCCTTCGAGGTCTTAAATACCTTCATTCAGCAAATATTCTTCACCGGGATTTGAAGCCTGGGAATCTGCTCATAAATGCCAATTGTGATTTGAAGATATGTGACTTTGGGCTTGCTCGAACTAATGGAGTTGATGGCCAGTTTATGACAGAATATGTTGTCACTCGTTGGTATCGTGCACCGGAGCTCTTGCTATGCTGTGACAACTACGGGACCTCCATTGATGTCTGGTCAGTAGGGTGCATCTTTGCTGAGATTCTTGGTAGAAAGCCAATTTTCCCTGGCACCGAGTGTCTCAACCAGCTGAAACTAATTATAAGTGTTCTTGGAAGCCAGCATGAATCTCATATTGAGTTTATTGATAATGCAAAAGCCAGGAGGTTTATCAAATCACTGCCCTATACTAGGGGGAGACACTTCTCTCAGCTATATCCACAAGCAGATCCATTAGCCATAGATTTGTTGCAAAAGATGCTTGTATTTGATCCAACCAAGAGAATTACTGTCTTAGAAGCTCTCCAACACCCATATATGTCTGGCCTGTATGATCCAAGGTGTAACCCTCCTGCACAGGTTCCCATCAATCTTGACATAGATGAACATTGGGGAGAACAGATGATTAGGGAAATGATGTGGAATGAGATGCAACATTATCACCCTGAAGTTGCTTCTGCCAATGCATAGTTGGTTAATTCTTCCATGGCTTTCTAGCCCTATTGCCTGTCTCTAGGAGTAGTAGTTCTGTTTTTTCCTAGACAAACTGTGATCTTAAAGGATTTATAACTGCCAAGTTTTGTACTTTGCATGAGATTGTTTCGGTACTTTTTTTAATTTGGCGTCTCCACAAGGATAATGGCGTCTCGTAATGACTAAACTTGTATATAGCCATGCATATCGTTTTGGTATTTCGGCTAAACCCATTTGTACTATGTTGTTCATCAGTTGTTTTCTTAAATTCAATAGAAAAGAGTTAAATAATTTGTGCTTTCAAATGTATCCAGGGTTATAAGATGATGTTTTCCTCACATAACACGGCAATTCTCTCTAAGGGCTTAAGGTATTGGGCGTTACGGAGTTCCATTAGACGCTACCTCTATATTAGATAATTTGTCTATTTTAGATTGTTTTAATTACACATATGTATTGATTTCTTGATAATAGTGAATGTTTTAATTTGATATGTATGATACTTGGTTGCATGGGTGATAAGATAGCAGTGACTTCCAAGGAGGAAGAGTTACATTGATTTTGAGAAGCAAGAACACGTATAAAGAAAAAAAAAAAAGAAACCGGCTTGATATATACAGATGTAAATGAGTTTTAAGTTTTTAAAATTTCTTTATAATTAGTATGCATTATAAAAAATATATTTTTGAGTACTAATATTTTCTAGTTTTACCTAAGTTGCTTATTATTTATAATTTTGTTAGGTTTTTTATTTAAGGTATTGTGTGTTTTGGGTTCCATATTTTATTATGATTTTGTTTTAAAAAATCTTTTGAAAAGTAGAAAAAAAATATTTAAATTGTCTTAAGTTTTAATTTCTAAGTAACATGAGTAATAAAAACATTTAAAATTATGCAACACAAATGAGTATTTGGTAGAAAAAAAAGAAAAATAAATAAGGTTTTTTCATAGTAATTCTACTGTAAATTTGTCATACGCTCCTTCTTAAGGTTTTTTTTTCCTTCTTCCCGCACCCCCACAATTCTTCTTCTCATTCCTTCTCATGGTGGATCTGGCTATTGCAATGGAGACGGAGAGAATCACCATCATCAGGTTGTACAAAAGGGAAGAAAGCGAGGATCAAACAATTATTTCACTATATTTATGGGGTGCGAAAATAAAAAAGGGAAGGTGTAATAAAAAACAGCTCATAGTTATTCACGTAAAACTAATAAAATTTAAACAGGAATTATATATTTATTTATATTTTAATCTATTCAATATTTTATTAGTTTTTCCTTAGTGCATTTCAACTTCTACAAATCATGTCCATAAATCTTATAATTGCAATACTCATTTATTTATTTATATATTAGTAAACACCATTTGAAAAACCAAAATGATTGCATGATATG